GTGGGCGGGGTGGAATCTCGGCAGATTTGATGTGAAAGAACCGGGAAATTTCATCGAGCGAGGGATTTTCGCAATATACTTCCGTATTTGCATCTACTCGTTAACAGCTATAACATGGAATCTGTAAGAAATGGGGGGTGTTATAAAAAAAATCATCCAAAAAAGGGGGTATAGTGAAATCAAGGTCACCCATAGCACCTACCCCGCACAAGCTACCCAGGGGTGCTCTATCATGGGGGGGCGTTTTGTCCGGGAGAACACGGTACAATTATTGGCTAACCAAAAGCTCAACTCACAAGGAGTTGGAAAATACAAGAAATATAAATAATGTATGATCCTATAACCTGGTTCTCCTTACCTCCTAACCCTGGACAGTGCCCTCTCCTTGAAATAGGCACCACAGGGAAAACGGCTCACTAGGAGCCTTTTGGCTTGATGTAGTCACTATATTACGGTACTACAGCCTTTATAGCCCAAACTGGTACTGCATGTTGGTCTTGGAGGGATGATATTTTCCGTCACGAGGAAGATGGATCCACGCCGTCCAATGATGACCAGATGGACAGGAACAGTTAGAAGTCAAGATGTGCCCAGCTGCCCAGTCGGTGCAATGAACTGCGCGAAGTTGCACAACTGCAGCTGAAGCGGGCTGAGTTGGACTTGAATCTGCCACGTAGGCTTAACAATGACGGGCTTTCACCAACCGCGTGGTTACTGATCTCCGAACCAAGGCTATCACCAAGCGAGTTATGAATTAACCCCAGGTCTCCACGCGGGCCCAGGTGTGCGGAAAGCGCCCTCGTTGAAAGCCGCAACTCAGCCGAAACCCGACCCGCGGGGGCTCTGCCGTTAGTGGGGCTGACGGGGACGAGGAAGGTGGCGGAGTGATGGCGACCGGAAAGCGGGGTTGTGTTAGCGCGGGAAATAGGCGGGTGATACGCATCGTGAGTGGTCGGCGTGCGGGAAAGAGGAGCATGTGTGTCGTAGAAACTTAGGTCGCGAGACGCTTGCGCATGGATGTGGCAGTGATCGTGGCTGTGCGACACCGCGATATTGCCTGGCGAGCGGCTGTGCGACGGGCGAATGGAGGGCGAATGACCTTGGCTGTGGACACGCGCGACGTGTGCGACTGGCGACGGCGACAGATCTAAAGCGCGTGACGAGAACGACCGCGGAGGAAAGCGGCCCGAGCCAAAAATCGGCGGCGACTCCAACGAGCGGTCCTTCAAAGAGAATGACGACAGCTCCAACGATCGTCGCCGGGAAACGCGGCGCTGGGGCGGCGGCGGCTCGTCTGCCTCGTCGTCCTCTTCATTCCCGTCATCTTCTTCCGCCTCGTTACGAGCAGCTTCAATATCAAGGGATGTGTTCATCATCATATGAGTCAGCTCCAACGACTCCTTCGACCGTCGCCGGGAAACGCGGCGCTGGAAAAATGGAGGCGGCTCGTCTGCTTCGTCGTCCTCTTCGTTCCCATCATCTTCGTTTTCTTCTTTCGTATAAGCACTGCTGCTAGTGCTTGTAGCGGAATGCGTCCTTGTGATACCAGCTGACGGAGAAAGCCCTCCGCTGCCGCGGATAGCGGCGACACCCCCGCCGCCGCAACCGTCGACGCAGTCCGCGCCGCTACAAGTGACGGTAGATGCGCCACCCTCGTTGCCGCCGCCGCCGCCGGCAATGGTCGACTCGATCATGTGGATAAAGTTCTCACAACGCGCGGCGCTGAGCTGGCGCTGTGTCGCGAGCAGCTCGAGCTTGCCCTCGAGCGCGCGGATCTCCATGTTCTCAGCGCTGTGCCGCATCGCCTGCAGCGTCGGCGATAATGTCTGCGACGTCGCCTGTTGCGTCAGCGACAGCATCGGCGACTGCGCAGCTACAGCAACCTGGTCGGAGTCACAGCCGTCGGCAGATGAAAACTCGCTCTGCTCCTCGCTGCTACTAAGGCTCCGCCTGAATCGCTGCGGCGCCACGAACGTATGATGGCGGCTCGGAAATGACGGCGACGCGAGCGCGGCTGGAGAATCGGGAAAGACGCAGCACGAATCGCAGAGTGACTTCGGACTCGGATCGAAGGGCTCGTAGAGCGCAGCGCCACCGCGGAGCGCAGGCGGTCTCATAGCGGGAGACGCGGCAGCCGCCATTCGGTAGTAGCACATGGACGTATGCGGATGCTGTCGGGTGCTTAGGACAAGGTTAAGCTACGAAAGTAGAAGTGAGAACGCGAACGAAGCTTTTACGGACTCCAACTGTGGAACGAGAAGCTATGTTCTGAGCGTAACTGCTTCACGAAATGTGCATGGAACGTAAGCTGCTTCACGAAATGAAGCACTGTGGCCAAGGCCACAGCGAAAAAGAAACTATTTTCTATGAACAGAAGTTCTAGCTCCCGCCTTGATCTGAGCGCGATATGTCAGATGAGCCACTGGGTCTGCACGAAGCGTGCGGCTTCGGAGAGGAACGGAAATGGAAGGCGCGAAAGGTGAGTGAAGACGTTGTAAAGGTATTACACTTTTCCAAATGACTGGGATTCCACTCGCGTCTATGTGTCTATACGTGTGATCCGAAGCAGAGCAATGCCTCACGAGCGATCGTTGGTTCCAGCTTTGGCATTCCAAAAGTGGAGGAGCCCGGATGAGAATGGGTGGACGGAGGTCGCGCGGTGGAGAAAGGGGAGAGGAGGGATATTCGTCTGTGGGGATGCGGGAAAGGGGGAGATACGTATGCGGGATGGGAAGGAGATCTTCAAAATTGAAGGGGATCTGCGGCTGGGAATAGGGTGAGAGCTCAGATGGACATCGGACAACCGTGGATTGAGTTCGGACAACCGGAAAGACTGCGAAAGACTACGGGAGAACTTGCTACAGTACCAGCGATTGCGGGGGAAGGCCAACTTGTCCTTGAAAGCCAGGCCGAAGCCACAGATTGAATGGTTGGTGATGAGGGGCGGGCAGGAAAATACACCAGACGGGAGAAATATAGCCCGAACCGAAGAACACCGAGACAGACCCAAGACAAAACTGTCGAGATGTCAGGGAACCTTTCTAGCAGGGCAGCACACATCTACCACCCAGAAAGCGTCGCGTCGCACCGCATCCGTCCATCATACAGTATCTATTCCGGAGCCTCGCTGGCATGTGCTGGACGTGGGTTCGAGAAGGCGCATGTGATTCCTTTTTGTCTTTATCGCCATTCGCGCCACTGTTTGCGATGAGGCTGACGTGGCTCAAGAGCATTTCAGAGCTTTTATGGGCAACCAATTGTGTGGTGCAGGCCAGTCCCCAACTGAATTCCGAAGTGAGGCTCTTTCATATTTTCACACACGCATTTGCCAAGTTTTGAATGCGACGTGGAAAACTTGAGAAGAAGGGTTGATGATCAAGACAAACTTGGGAAGTTTTTTTTCCATGTTTCCAAGGAATGGATTGGGCAATGTGGTAAAACACCTGCCACACCAGCTCACACAAGCCGCAAAACTATGTATCAATGCAAAGAGTACCCCCTGAACACAACAGATGAGACAAGGAAACGACAAATCTGGGGAGTCGCACAAATATCCGATTTCAGTCGATGGAAATGAAATCCAAGCCGAAAATGAAACGAGTTTTGTTGACACATTTCATCGTGTACGTAGCTGTCCCTGATAACTTGTGGTTTGGGTGGTTTTCGGTTCCAGCTCTTTGGTTTGGATCACTCCTTGAAGGAGCTATGCACTCAGCACGTTCCCCGTTGCCACACCAGCCGAGACGGCCCCCTGAAATAAAATGAACTCTAAACTCTCAAATCCAGCTGCAACGAGCCATGGGTGTTCATGAAACTAAATAGAAGGAGTTTGCTTCAGCCATGGCTGGAGGCGGGTAATAAATGATAATGCAGCTAGCTGTGCAAGGCGGGAAATGACATTTGTTTGTTTCGGGTGCCATGTGGTGGCTCTTCATTCACCCGTTAAACAGTCACATTCACTTCTTGAGACTCTGATCCGGATCTGGATGTTGATGTGCTGTGCAGAACCATTGGTCGTCGTCATTCGATCAGAGCATCGCATCGTTGCCACGAAACTCCAACAAGGTGAGGTACGTTCCAATCAGCGTGCAGGATCGCCTGTCAGTGGGCTCCCGTAGAAACTAAGAGTCAGGCTGACGTGGGTATAGTGTGGGTACAGTGTGGGTGTAGTGTGGCTCGGGTTTCAGATTGCGCTGACCTAAATTAAAGCTGACGTGGGTAAATCGTGGCTTACTCGTGTGACAACGTGGAGGGGGCCAATTCGACTTCTTCCAGCAGCTCCCACCATTCAGGGGTGATTGTGAGCGACACGGAAGCCAGCACTTCCCCTCGATTGTGGCTGGTGCGAAACAGTTGACGCTTGTCACTCGTCATCTGCAATTTTCCTTTCCTGAACTGTACATAATATAACTACTTGATATATTGTTGCTTGCTTCTGTTAATGTGTATACAGAAGCCTTCGCGGGGCGGCCGTATCCAGGATTCATGCTAGCGAATCGGGTTTGTCTAATAAGCGGCTGTAGGAACACGGCCCCAGTTGATGCTACACATATCGCTTAAATATATATTAGCGTAAAATTCTCCTCACACCACCCACTTTTTGCGACACGAATGCTTGTCCACACACACACACACCCAATCAGATCCCTCCGCCCATTGTATTTGAACACACCTATTGATTTTCCGGCTAGGTACAAGCTTTGCACGACTTTCTACAGTACCCAAACGACTCCTCATTCCCAATCATATAATCCTTATACCCCTTGCACTCCCCTCGTGCCGCCCAAATCTCGCAGAACGGATGCTCGTCCACGCACCCAATCAAATCCCTCCGCGCAGTGTACTTCTGGATTGCGATGGATTTTTCTGCCGTCCACTTGGGTGGGCCCTCAAGAACCGGGCAGTTTCGGCGACCGGCAGAGGGGTTGTGGTAACCAGATGCGGTTACTTGAAAAAACAGCAGTGCGTCTCCTTTGACTGGTGGGACTGAGGAAAGCGATTCAGGGGCAGGGGGAGGGAGATATGAGAAGGGTGATGGCAGAAGAGCAGAGCATCTCCTTTGACTGGTGGGACTGAGGAAAGCGATCCAGGGGCAGGGGGAGGGAGATATGAGAAGGGTGATGGCAGAAAGGGAAGAAGAGCAGAGCATCTCCTTTGACAGGTGGGACTGAGTGGTTTGATATGGGGGTTGAAAATGGGAGAGGGGGTGGGGAGGAAAGAAGTAAGGTTGTGGTAACCAGGCATGGTTACTTGGAAGTAGAGCAAACATCTCCTTTGACTGGTGGGACTGAGTGGAATTTGTGGGTATTAAGGGAGGGAGGGGGGCATTGGAACGGAAGGCGGGAAGGGGAAGGGTCATGGTACCAGATTGGTTTCATAAGAAACAAATGCAGCACATCTCCTTTGACTGGTGTGACTGAGAGTAAGGGCTTATGTGTAGGGAGGCAGGAAAGGATTCGACAAAGAATAGAGATGAAATTCTACTCCATGTACACTAATTAAACAATAGAGACCATGCGAAACGAGTCGTGTACTGAGTCAACTCAAAGCACGACTCATTCTCCACCATGTACATAATGTAAACTATCGATACCATTCAGCACACATACCTGACACGCCTTGGCGGGCACATGGAGATAGGGACGAGTCCCAGGGCCAATGTGAGTGCTCCGACTGGGGGGAGCGACGGGAAAGAGAGGGGGGGGGGGGGGGGGGGGGGGGGGGGGTGGGATGCAAGAAAATAGCGAGAGATGTAACGGCAGCAACTAGCAGACATGGCGAGAGGGATGAGTCCCAGGGCCAATGTGAGTGCCTAAGGCCAAAAGATTGGAGGGACGGGAAATGGGGGGGAAATGCGAGAAATTAGCGAGAGATGTAAGGGTATGGCAGAGAGTTGTTGACATACAGCCGATTGGTGTTCATGTAGCACCCACCTATTTTATTCGATAATAATTAAAAAAAAACTAGGATAAACGGAGAAATTGTATCCTACAGTACCTTGCCCTGGGGGAAGTTCACTTCGCCGCCTTTTTGGACGTCCGAGAGGAAAAGGACAAGCGTTGCCACCCGGTGGCCGGACCTCTGTGTGTCAACGTTATCCCGGTAAAACTCCAGATGCACGTCATATGCTTGACCCTCGTTGAACCGAACCTGTGTCCGAGCCTGCGGGTCTGGTTCGGACAAGGGAAAGCAACAAAAGGTGGTGCCTAAGGCCAAAAGATTTTGTGGCACAGCCTCAGCTGCACCCCACGACTGGGCCCATCCCTGATGGCCTAGGTTGGTCCATACCTAATGGCCAGGTTTGGATACAGCTAGCTAGGATGAGCAAGGAGGCAATCGAGAAAACAAAATCAATGTCAATGCAATGAACTGGAACTTAAGCAAGTTCCTCTGGGAAAGAAGATAGAAAAGAATCATCGAATGTTGTACGCGATTCAAGAATGTTAAGTGCGTTCTGGGGCAACTGGATAAGTCATTGCGGAAATTGACAAAAAAACAAAAACAAATGTGAATGAATTTAGGTTACTATACTCCCTAAACAATGCACGAATGAAAGGCCCGGCATTTACCTCTGGGAAGAAAAAGGAAGGATGCAATCCGGTCCTCTATGGCTCGAAGGCGTGGGTTCTGAAGGAAAGGAAGGAAAGGATACACACAGACAAGCAAGCAAGTTAACAATCTGAGTCAAACTTAAAAGTTCACACGCACTCCGGTCCTCTATGGCCCGAAGGCCTGGGTTCTGAAGGAAGGGAAGGAGAATAGTCCGGGGTTAGGGTTTGGGAAAGACAAGCAAGCCGTTGAAGGAAGGATGCAATCCGGTCCTCTATGGCTCGAAGGCGTGGGTTCTGAAGAAAGGAAGGAGAGGATGCACAAGGCAAGGATGCACAAGGCAAGGATGCACAAGGCAAGGATGCACAAGGCAAGGATGCACATGAAACATTTGAGTTAGACTTGGCAGGCCACTTGTGATCATGCCTTCCTCTATAGCCTCACAGTGTGTTTTCTGAAGAAATAGAGAAGTCGCACATGCACACGCACGCACACACACACTCACATCCCCCCTTTCCCTCCGCCCGCCCCCCCCCCCCCCTCTCCCACCCCCTTCCCCCCGCCTCACATTCACAGACACTCACACACTTGCCTGATACTTGCGCAGATACGTGGCATTGAACATCCTCTGGCGAGCGATCTTTGGCTTCGCCTGCCAGGCAACAGGCGAAGGCAGCATGGCAGCATGGCAGTATGGCAGCATGGCAGCATGGCAGCATGGCAGCATGGCAGCATGGCAGCATGGCAGCACGGCAGCATGGCAGCATGGCAGCATGGCATCACGGCAGTGTGACAAGTCAGTCATGTGGTAATTGGGAGATAAGTGGTTGATGGTGACTTGGAGACGTCTCAAAACACTCCTTTCACGTGGTTGATGGTGACTTGGCCGGATGGCAAAATGATTCATTGAGGAAGCACAAATCGAGCTAGTTCAGTCAGAGGCAGCAGGGCTCAGCGCTCACCATCGCCACTGCTGCCCTGAGCTCAGTCAGAGGCAACAGCGCTCACCATCGCCACTGCTGCCCTGAGCTCAGTCAGAGGCAACAGCGCTCACCATCGCCACTAGAAACGCACAATCATCTGGCGACAGAAGTTGGGAAGTTGTTTGTACACACATACACCCTGCAGACAGAAAGGGTTGACTTTTGAGTCTGGCTCAAAAGGCAGGAGGGCTCACCATGGCCACTAGAAACGCACAGTCGTCTGGCGACAGAAGCTGCTTGTAAACATACACCCTGCAGACAGAAAGAACAAGCGATTTGGAACGCAACAGGGTAAGCTGCGATGATAAATCAATTAAAAAAACAGAAAAAAAAAAAGCATCTGGGTGGGTGTAGACGGAACAACATTCAGTTTGATAATCAGTTGTGACTAGGTACAGTGTACCTAGGTGTACACAACACCTACCTATGTACGTATTACAGGGAATTCTTTTCTTAATAGAACGGGAATTAGTGTGAGATAGGCGTACAGTACCTGGGTGTAGATGACACCTTGACAACCCGGCTTTCATTAAACACCCACTCCGAACCTCCCGCCATCTGAACGCCATTAGGCTCGGCAGAGTTCAGTAAAGTGCTGGCACCGAGAGGGCTGAGACGATCGCTCCCTGCCACGCCCCGGATCCCCCCAACAACTTTGTATGCGTCACTGCTGCTGCTGCTGTTGCTGCTGCTGCCGCTTGTGATGCTGCTTGCTTTGGCTGCGGCTAGTCTGGCCTCCCGCGCTTGAAGCAGCTCGGGGGTGCCCCAGAACTCGATGCTGATTGGTCGAAGCAGAGAGCGAAGGGGAAGAATGAAAAAGAGGGGGAGAGGTGTGGGGGAAGGAGGGGGGTGGAAGATAGTGGAATGGGGGGGTTGAGCGGAGGGGGAAGGGAGGGAGAGGACGAGTGCTTGAAGCAGCTCGGGGGTGGAAGGGGGACGTGGATTGGTTGAGAGGAGGTGACAGAAACGAAGGGGGAACCCGAGTCTCAACCAAACGAGTCTCTGTCTCACGACCTAGTGAATTTCGCCCTAGCGAGTACCATTCTAACGAGTCTCACACTAACGAGCCTAACAAGCCTCACCCTAACGAATCTTGTAGTCCTCTTGACGGGGGAACCCAAACCGCAAGAAGGAAAACTACAAGGACGGGGAAGACCCGCATATCGACAGCCATTAGAAAAAGGAATGGGTCGAAGTGCGCGCCGAGCTGTGCGTCGAGCTGCTGCGCGCCGAGTTGTGAGTAAAAACCGCGCGCCGAGCTGATATATGAAAGTCTTAAAAATATGAAAAGAACGCTAGAAAATTATTGTTGGGAGTCGGATGCGCGGCAAAATGCAGGGAAAGCGACTGGAAACAAGTTTAATAAAGTCACGACGAGAACTGCGGTATTCTTGAGGGCGGAGCAGATCGGTAGATATTAAGGAGTGTCGTGACGGCATCCGAATTCTGACACACTTTCAGATTTGAATGTTGCACACGTTCGTGCGATCTAGAAACAGGCGCGTTCCAAGCTAAAAGTGTGCAAATATCCACCTGTTCTTATTTACACCCTTTTTAATCAGAGAAACTAACAACGTGCTCCTCAATAGAGGACAAAAACGTTTCCTCTTAGCTGTAAACCTTACAAACATATCTCAAGTATGCAACATCATGCATTTTTTCCTGCTACTGATTTAGCTACTGGCATCCCATCCAAATGCACGTCGCAACGCTTGTGCGATGGCATTAGCAGCATCAGGTATTGACCCATGTGACAGAAGGGTGTCACAAGATTGGGAAGCACCGCTCCTGAACCCAGCAGCACCACTGCCATTCCCAGCAGCACCTCTGCCAGTTCCATTACCACTGCTGCCAAACCCATCAGCACCACTGTCAGTTTCAGCAGCAGGTGGGTGCATCATTCGCCATGCCACGTGCCCATCCGGACTTACAAGAACAGCACACGACTCCCCCACCCCTGATGACTTTTGAGTCGACTCAAAAGTACCTGCAGCAGGTGGGTGCATCATGCGCCATGCCACGTGCCCATCAGGCCTTACAAGAACAGCACCCGACTCCCCCACCCCTGCCAACCATGCCAACCACTCCCCCCTCTCTGCACCCCTCTCCTCTGCTGTGCTCGCTGCTTCTCCCATACCAGCTGAACCGGCTGTATCGGCGTGTTGTTGCCTGGGTGGGATGCGGTCTGTCAAGAGAATGACTTCAAGAGACGTGTGACTCGAACCAGTGGCAGCTGTAGCAGCTGTAGCAGAAGCAGGTGGGGCAGAAGCAGAACGAGCAGCATCAGTAGCAGCAGCAGCAGCAATGCCACCAGCGGCAGCAGCAATGCCACCATCAGGAATGGGCCTGAGGACCCAAGGCGTGAGAAGGCAGGGCGAAGGTGAACCCGCATCAATTGCACAGCCCGTTACACTGTTACCTCTAAACTCGCTTGCACTGACTCCCTTCCCTGTTACACGGTTGCCACCCCCCCCTTCCGTGCTAGCAGGCTCTACGCAGAGGCCGAGAGGGGCAAGGAGGGAAGGGAGAGGGGAGAAGGAGGAGGGGTGGGGAGCGAGGAGGACGAGACGGAGGGGGAGGCAAGTGAGGGAGTGTGCGCGGAGAGAGGAGGCGAGCCAGAGGGGAGTGTGGGGGCCGAGAAGGAGGAGGAGAGTGGGGGTGATGGAGCCGAGAGGAGAGAGGTCGATGGAGGAAAGAGAAGGGCCCTGCATGCAAGGAAATTTGAAGGGGCGGCATAGGAGAGAGAGGGGGAAATGGTGAAGTGAATCTGGGAAGGACTGTGGGGAGATGGAGAAATGTTGATTTGAGTTTGTGAAGAAGTGTGTGGGGAGAGGGAGGCGCAGAGTGGGAGTGATGCAGCCAAGCGGAGAGAGTCGATGGAAGAGGGAGAAGAGCCCTGTGATGGTGGGACGGGATAAGAGCCCTGTGATGGTGGGACGGGATAAGAGCCCTGTGATGGTGGGACGGGAGAAGAGCCCTGTGATGGTGGGACGGGTTTTGAGGCGCCTCAAAAGTGATGGTGGGGCGGGATGGGAAAAGGGATAGGAACGAGAGGGGCGGAGTGAAGTGGGTTTGGCATTGGCAGGAGTGAGTTGGGAAAAAAACGAACGAAAGGGGAGTGTGGTGGATGAGAGGGAGGAGGAGAGTGGGAGTGATGGAGCCAAGCCAAGAGGACTTTTGAGTCGACTCAAAAGTCAACTTGATGGAGCCAAGCCAAGAGGAGGGAGATTGCAGCAAGGTGGGGAGGAATTGGGGAAAGAGGTGCCCTTCAACCGAGGGTCTACATTTTCCATCGGCAGGTGGGCTGCTGAGATTTTCTGACAGTGCAGCAGGTTTGGCAGGGAAGCGCAGCAGGGCGAGTGTGTGGTGTGGCAAGGAAACACCAGGAATAGAGAGGGCCAATAGACTAAGCATAGTATTAGAGGAACAAGAACTTACGATTTGGAAGTCTAGATGGGGTGGGGTGCCCTGGGACCTGTGTGCGCTGATGCTGCTTGCACTCTGGTGTTCCTTAGGTGCATGCTGATGGTCCCTTGCAGCAACAGCAGAAAGCAGTAGCTGGGTGAGCGTGCGGTGTTGCAGGCGGGCGCCAGGGAGAGTGGAGGGCGTGAAAGAGGTGGAGGTGGGAGAAAGAGAAAGAGAAACTTACAATCTTGAAGTCGAGAGGTGATGCGGTTCCCTTGGACCCACGTGTGCTGCTTGCAATCTGCAGCTGTTTGGACTGATGGTCCGATGTTGCAGCGGCAGAGGGTAGCAGCAGGGTGAGTGTGCGGTGTGGCAGGGTGCGTGCCGGGGAGAGTGGAGAGCGTGAGGGAGTGGTGGGAAGAAAGGGAAAGGGCAACTTACGATTTCGAATTCGAGAGGTGATGCGGTTCCCTTGGACCCACGTGTGGTGCTTGCACCCGGCGGCTCTTTGGACTGATGGCCTGTTGTTGCAGCAGCGGAGGGCAGCAGCAGGGTGAGCATGCGGTGTGGCAGGCGGGCGCCGGGGAGAGTGGAGGGAGTGAAGGAGGTGGAGCTGGCTCTTCGAGCTTGGGAATCGTATGCTGCTGCTTGAGGGACGTCTGAAGGGGACAGGGACAGGGCGCCCTTCTTGTACCTGAAGGGAGGGATGGGAAGGAATGAAAAGGAGCGCCCGGGAGAGTGGAGGGTGTGAAGGAGGTGGAGCTGGCAGCATGTGCTTGCGAGTCATAATGTGCTGCTTCACGGGTGTCTGAGGCAGATCGGGACGGGGCACCTGTACCTACGAGGGGGATTGGGCTGGAGAGAGTTGCAATTGAAGTGGGGTGAGAAGAACGGGGGGACGAGTCCAGTAAGTGTGCATGTGGTGAGTAGAGTCAAAGTTGCAGCGTGCAGTGGGGCAACAAGCATTTGCACCCAACCCTACCCCTCCAAACCAATCCATGCACATCCCCATGCATCCCCACACATCCCCACACATCCCCACCCGTCCCCACCCACCTCCACCCATTCCCACCTAAAACCCAAGTCGTGCTGTGGGAAAAGCAGCTGCAGGCTCTTCCCCTCCTCCAAACTCCTCTGCACCGCTGCCAGCCGCTCTCTTCCCACAGGATTGGCTGGGTTCAGCAGCCAATCAGAGAGCAGCAGCTGTCGCCCTGCTGATAGCCCAGCCTCTATGAGGGTCGCCTGGAGCTGACGTGGCAGGAACTGATTGGCTGTTGAAGAGGTAAGGGCAGCTGAGAAAAGGCTGGGCAGCAGGGGGAGGGAAAGAGGGAAGGAGGGAAGGAAGGCGAGTGTTGGTCACGCCAACTGTGCATCCCTCTACATCCTTTTGAGAATTCTCAAAGAGCAGAGAGTTCAGCAGCATGTATGTACTATCCACCTTTCCGCGTGTAGTAAGTCGATTTTTTAATCGACTCAAAAATCGACTTACAACTTGAGAATTCTCAAGAGTAGAGAGTTCAGCAGCATGTACTATCGACCTTTCCCACCCCACTTGGAAGTACTCTCTTAGAGTCTCAGCAACGTTGAGGCCTCTACACCTCCTCCTTCTGCAGCACATATATGCTCACTCACTCCCTCACGCACCTGGCAGGGCTCCATCCAGACCCAGGGCTCCATCCAGACCCAGGGCTCCATCCAGACCCAGGGCTCTGGGAACAGCCTGGGCAGACTCGAAGTTATTCACACTGAACTGAAGTTTGTATTTCCCTCCGCTGGCACCCACGGCCACTGGCACCCATGGCCACTGGGCGTCTCTCCGCCTCGTGCGAGGCGAGCAGGGCAGGGGGGGAGGGGAGAGGGTGGAGCAGAGCAGAGCTCTTGACCCACTGGCTCCACTAAAGAGAGAGAGAGAGGAGTCAGTCGGCACTCACGCACCTGGCAGCGTTGGGTTCAAGACCCAGAGCACGAGGGACAGCCAGAGCGGACTCTTGAGGCGCCTCAAAACACGAGGGACAGCCAGAGCGGACTCCAAGCTGCTGACGCTCAGGTGAGTGTTGCCCACAGCCACTGGGCGCCTCTCTGCCTCCCCCCCTCTCCGCCTACAGTGGGTGTGGACGCACCTGGCAGCGTTGGGTTCAAGACCCAGAGCTCCTGGCACAGCTAAAGCTGACTCGAAGTTGTTGACGCTCAGGTGAGTGTTCCCCATGGTCACCGGGCGCCTCTCTGCCTCGTAGGAGGAGAGCAAGGTGGGGGAGGCAGTACCTTGAAGCAGAAACACCCACGCACCTGGCAGCGTTGGGTTCCAGACTCAGGGCTCTGGGGACAGCCAGAGCAGACTCGAAGTTGCTGACACTCAAATGGGTATTTTCCACGGCCACTGGGCGCCTCTCTGCCTCGTAGGAGGCGAGCAGGGCGGGGGAGGCGGTGCCTTGGAGCAGAGCTGCGAGCTTCCATGCGAGGTTGTGCGCGTCCTGAATGCCCGTGTTCATGCCTGGTTGGGGTGGGGTGGGGTGGAGGGTTGGAAGGGAGGAGGGGTCGCCCCCACAAGGTTTCGCCCTCACTGCCCACATCATGTGCATTTTTGGAGCTGACATGGGGTGGTCCATACGTCCGCACGTACCTTTTGAGTTGACTCAGAACTGACATGGGGTGGTCCATACGTCCGCACGTACCTTTTGAGTCGACTCAGAACTGACATGGGGTGGTCCATACGTCCACACGTACCTTTTGAGTCAACTCAGAACTGACATGGGGTGGTCTATACGTCCACACGTACCAAAGCCGACGGCCGGGGGAAAGTGATGGGCCACAATGCTGCAGGGTGTTTTTGAGAATTCTCACAAACACCCTGCAGCACGATGAGCCGCATTTCCCACCAAAATGACACGCGGCTCATATCCCTCCTTATCTGCTTGTCACCCTTCTGCAAGTGGTCACTCCACAAAGAGAGCAAAGCCGACTGGCATGGTAGCTAGGTCTACATGCACGCGTACAGACACACGTACCGAAGCCGCCAGCTGGTGGGAAGCAGTGAGCTGCATCCCCCACTAGAATGACTCGCGGCTCATATGAATCATATCCCTTCCCAGAGAGACGCCCCTCACTCTCTGCCCACATGTTTCGCATGTTTGGATTGGAACTGACATGGGAGCTACAGGACTCTATTCTACACACACGTACCGAAGCCGCCAGCAGGGGGGAAACAATGGGCTGCATCCCCGACTAGGATGACACGCGGCTCATATGAGTCGTATGACTCGCATCCCTCCCCAGTGTTATGCCCCTCACTGCCCGGAGCTGGTGGTGATGGACGGTGTGAAGCGGTTGAAGGTATCTATCTATACACACGTACCGAAGCCGCCAGCCGGGGGAAAGCGGTGGGCTGCATCGCCGACTAGGATGACACGCGGCTCATATGAGTCGTATGGATCGCATCCCTCCCCAGTGTTATGCCCCTCACTGCCCGGAGCTGGTGGTGATGGACGGTGTGAAGCGGTTGAAGGTATCTATCTATACACACGTACCGAAGCCGCCAGCCGGGGGAAAGCGGTGGGCTGCATCGCCGACTAGGATGACACGCGGCTCATATGAGTCGTATGGATCGCATCCCTCCCCAGTGTTATGCCCCTCACTGCCCGGAGCTGGTGGTGATGGACGGTGTGAAGCAGTTGAAGGTATCTATACACACGTACCAAAGCCACCAGCCGGGGGAAAGCGGTGGGCTGCATCCCCGACTAGGATGACACGCGGCTCATATGAGTCGTATAAGTCGTACCCCTCCCCAGTGTTATGCCCCTCACTGCCCAGTGCTGGTGCGGGGTGGTGCGAAGGTGTCGGGTGATGCGAAGCGGTTGGTGGTGGTGTGGAGAGGTTTTGTGAGGCGACGTGGGACGAAGCCGCAAGCAGTGCTGGTGCTGGGCGGTGTGAAGTGGTCGGCGGCGGTGCAGCGAGGTAGTGAGAGGCGACTTGAGCAGCCATGATCCAGGGCTTGACAGAGCGGATGGCGATGGGGATGGAAGAATCCCCTATCAACGCCCGCACCTTGCGCTCACAGTCCTGTAAACGAGTGAGCAGGGTGGGAGGGGATAAGGAGGGAGGCGACATGAGCCACTGTGATCCACGGCTTGGCAGAACGGATGGTGATGGGGATGGATGAATCCCGTATGAGTGCCCGCACCATGCGCTCACAGTGCTATTGATAGGTGAGAGGGGAAGGAGCGGTTAGAAGAGTGGAGGGGCAAGGGGAGGGAGGCGACTTGAGTGGCCATGATCCAGGGCTTGGCAACGCAGATGGCGATGGGGAGGGATGAATCCTCTTCTTGTGCCCGCACCATGCGCTCACAGCCCTGGTGGTGAGAGAGTGAGGGAATCCAGGGGAAAGGGAAGAAGGCGACTTGGGCGGCCATGATCCACGGCTTGACAGAGTGGATGGTTCTGAGTGCTGTTAACGGCGGGGTCTCCGAGTGCTGTTAACGGCGGGTCTCCGAGTGCTGTTAACGGCGGGGTCTCCGAGTGCTGTTAACGGCGGGGTCTCCGAGTGCTGTTAACGGCGGGGTCTCCGAGTGCTGTTAACGGCGGGGTCTCCGAGTGCTGTTAACGGCGGGGTCTCCGAGTGCTGTTAACGGCGGGGTCTCCGAGTGCTGTTAACGGCGGGGTCTCCGAGTGCTGTTAACGGCGGGGTCTCCGAGTGCTGTTAACGGCGGGGTCTCCGAGTGCTGTTAACGGCGGGGTCTCCGAGTGCTGTTAACGGCGGGGTCTCCGAGTGCTGTTAACGGCGGGGTCTCCGAGTGCTGTTAACGGCGGGGTCTCCGAGTGCTGTTAACGGCGGGGTCTCCGAGTGCTGTTAACGGCGGGGTCTCCGAGTGCTGTTAACGGCGGGGTCTCCGAGTGCTGTTAACGGCGGGGTCTCCGAGTGCTGTTAACGGCGGGGTCTCCGAGTGCTGTTAACGGCGGGGTCTCCGAGTGCTGTTAACGGCGGGGTCTCCGAGTGCTGTTAACGGCGGGGTCTCCGAGTGCTGTTAACGGCGGGGTCTCCGAGTGCTGTTAACGGCGGGGTCTCCGAGTGCTGTTAACGGCGGGGTCTCCGAGTGCTGTTAACGGCGGGGTCTCCGAGTGCTGTTAACGGCGGGGTCTCCGAGTGCTGTTAACGGCGGGGTCTCCGAGTGCTGTTAACGGCGGGGTCTCCGAGTGCTGTTAACGGCGGGGTCTCCGAGTGCTGTTAACGGCGGGGTCTCCGAGTGCTGTTAACGGCGGGGTCTCCGAGTGCTGTTAACGGCGGGGTCTCCGAGTGCTGTTAACGGCGGGGTCTCCGAGTGCTGTTAACGGCGGGGTCTCCGAGTGCTGTTAACGGCGGGGTCTCCGAGTGCTGTTAACGGCGGGGTCTCCGAGTGCTGTTAACGGCGGGGTCTCCGAGTGCTGTTAACGGCGGGGTCTCCGAGTGCTGTTAACGGCGGGGTCTCCGAGTGCTGTTAACGGCGGGGTCTCCGAGTGCTGTTAACGGCGGGGTCTCCGAGTGCTGTTAACGGCGGGGTCTCCGAGTGCTGTTAACGGCGGGGTCTCCGAGTGCTGTTAACGGCGGGGTCTCCGAGTGCTGTTAACGGCGGGGTCTCCGAGTGCTGTTAACGGCGGGGTCTCCGAGTGCTGTTAACGGCGGGGTCTCCGAGTGCTGTTAACGGCGGGGTCTCCGAGTGCTGTTAACGGCGGGGTCTCCGAGTGCTGTTAACGGCGGGGTCTCCGAGTGCTGTTAACGGCGGGGTCTCCGAGTGCTGTTAACGGCGGGGTCTCCGAGTGCTGTTAACGGCGGGGTCTCCGAGTGCTGTTAACGGCGGGGTCTCCGAGTGCTGTTAACGGCGGGGTCTCCGAGTGCTGTTAACGGCGGGGTCTCCGAGTGCTGTTAACGGCGGGGGTCTCCGAGTGCTGTTAACGGCGGGGTCTCCGAGTGCTGTTAACGGCGGGGGTCTCCGAGTGCTGTTAACGGCGGGGTCTCCGAGTGCTGTTAACGGCGGGGTCTCCGAGTGCTGTTAACGGCGGGGTCTCCGAGTGCTGTTAACGGCGGGGGTCTCCGAGTGCTGTTAACGGCGGGGTCTCCGAGTGCTGTTAACGGCGGGGTCTCCGAGTGCTGTTAAACGGCGGGGTCTCCGAGTGCTGTTAACGGCGGGGTCTCCGAGTGCTGTTAACGGCGGGGGTCTCCGAGTGCTGTTAACGGCGGGGTCTCCGAGTGCTGTTAACGGCGGGGTCCTCCGAGTGCTGTTAACGGCGGGGTCTCCGAGTGCTCGCACCATGCGCTCGCAGCCCTGTGAGAGATCGACTGAAGGAAAGAATGTGAGAAGGAATTCCTTCATTCTTCAGTGGGGGATTTCCTTCAGTGCTTGCCTGCTCGCACCATGCACTCGCAGCCCTGTGTTCATGAGGTGGGGAGGCAGGAGTAAGATAGAGGGGATTGAGATCAGCAGCAAAGCACAACCAAGGGAAGAAACACATGCGTGAAGCAAATCAAGGTGACTTTTGAGTAAATCATGAAACAGAAAAAATCTCCCTGGAAACTCAAGTTGCTTACCAATCTGTCAACCTGTGTGAACAGTACCATAGTAGTGTGCATCCCTGACGTTTTGCACGAGTTCGAACCCTGATAACAGAAGTTACCACCTTTGATTGGTGGAGGTGCCTTAGAAAATATGATCGAACCACTCACCTCCTTTGATTGCTTACATATAGCACAAAATTTCCAGTCCTAAATGGCTGAGCTAGGGATGAGCAAAGGGCGAACACGGACATGTTCGTGTTCGCCCCTTCTCGAACACGTCCTTTTGCCGAACCGAACAGTGTTCGGCTCGGCGAACAGTTTAGCCAAAAACAGGTGTTCGCTGTTCGCCTGTGGAGGCGTGTTCGGGCGAACCTCGAACACGTTCGTGTTCGACACGAGGCGTTTTGCAGCAGCGCCACGAACACCAACGTGTTCGGGCGAACATCGAACACGTTCGGGCGAACGATTTAAGCTGAAAAACAAAACCTGTTCGGTTCGCCTCGAACACGTTCGAGGCGAACCGAACAGGTGTTCGCCACCTTGCTCAAGCCTAGGCTGAGCTACCGTTAAAAAATAATCAAATCACTTACCTCTTGTGATGGCACATTCTTGCCGTCCGAGTAGAGAGGAATCTAGGACATGGGGAGCCGCAGGGAAGAAGAAGAAGGAAGAGGCAATGCGATGTGGGCGGAGGGTTGGAGAGAGTACGAGGCAATGCGATGTGGGCGGAGGGTTGGAGAGAGTACGAGGCAATGCGATGTGGGCAGAGGGTTGGAGAGAGTAAGAGGCACTGTTGAGAATTCTCAAAAGCCATGGAGAGTTTTAGGGGAGGGCAAGAAGGAGGGGGCAAGTATTGTGGGCGGAGTGGAGGGTTGGAGAGTAGGAGACGAGATAAGTAAGATGAGAAGAACGACGAGAGTGGGGAGAATGAGGAGGGAGGGGGTATGGATGGATGCGATAACGCACTCAACAATCCACCTTACCCGAGCTGCTAAACACTCTCAATTCCCTCACCTGGGCAACAAACTCCCCTTCCCTCAAGCAGTGCGCCACCCCCACCCCCACGCCCTCCCCTGTGGTACACAGAGCAGCGCATGGCGGGGCGGGGCAGAGCCTACTGGAGCGGGGCGGGGCAGAGCCTACTGGGGCGGGGCGGGGCAGAGCCTACTGGGGCGGGGCGGGGCAGAGCCTACTGGGGCGGGGCGGGGCAGAGCCTACTGGGGTGCCTCAAACGTGCTCCTCACCTGCGCGACAAACTCCCCTTCTCTCAAGCAGTGCGCCACCCCCACCCTGACCCTCCCTGTTGTTAACAAAATAGTGCATGGCAGGGCGGGGCAGCGACAACTGGGGTGCCTCAAACGTACTTCTCACCTGCGCGACAAACTCTCCCTCTCTCAAGCAGTGCGCCACCACCACACCGACCCCCTCGCTGTTGTACACGAAATAGAGCATGGCGGGGCGGGGCAGCCAGCGCAACCACATCCTTTCCACAGTGCCTCAGTGCCCTCACCTGGGCGACAAACTCTCCTTCTCTCAAGCAGTGCGCCACCACCACCCCGACCCCCTCTGTGTTGTACACGAAATAGAGCATCGCTGGGCGGGGCAGCGCCAGCAGCCTCAACCCGAGCGGGCGTGAGGAGAAATGCACCGACAGCACCCGCTGCAGCTGCCTGTGCCCCTGCATTGTCACTTGATGCAGTTCCCCTCCCCCCCTCTGCCCCTGCATGAACAACTGCTCGGCCTCTTCTTTTCCGCGGCTATGATTGGCTGCGTCGCCTGACTCGTCTGGTCTTTGGGATGGTTGAGCCGGGACAAAACTCGCCGCCCGGATGCTGCTGTTAGCACCATCACAGCCAATCAAGTATGAGCAGTCAATCTCAAGGTTTTGGGGGAGAGGAGGAAGAGAGTTGAGAGGAGGAGGGGAGGCGGTAAGAGGAGGCGGCAGGAAGGATGCGGCTGTGTGTTGTTGGTGGTGGTGCTGCTGCTGACGTTGCTGATGTTGCAGCTTTAGCTGATGTTGGTTCTGCTGCTGCTGCTGGTTCTGAGTCAGAGAATTTTCTAAGGAGGATTCCAAATTCGGTGTAGCGCAGAGGCTAACTCTTATAGGCTTCTCCGATGCTGATCTTATAAAGGGGATGGTCTGGGAGCCAGTAGAAGACTTGGAGTAAGTGGAAGGGGGAGAGACGGGGGAGGGAGAGGCAGTGGAGGAAATGGTAGGGGAAGGGGTAGTGGGAGTGGTGGAAGGATGATCACAGATGGGTTGAGTGGGGCTGGTAGGATGTTGCAGAGTGGAGGAGCGGAAAGGAATGGACGGATGAGATTGAACGTGGGAGAAGGAATCAGCGGCGTAACCAAAGAGAACAGGTGGCAGCTGTAACCCGTTGCTCTGTGGTAACCCCACATCTTGTTGTAACCGCTCGTGTTCTGGGTACCGCTCTTGGTGTGGTAACCCATTTCTATCTTGTGGTAACCGTTTTTGCTGCTGAGAAAAGCGTGAATCCGATATTGCCTGCTCCAGCAGCAGCGGCAGCAGCTTGTTCTGCGAGAAATGGGCCACAGAGGCTGGGCTTATTTGCGATAGGCCTGCACATGAGGGGAGGAGGGAGGGGGAAGGAGATGAGGTAGAGGGGTAAAGAAAGAGAGACGGATGGTGCCTGCTCTAGCAGCAGCAGCAGCAGCAGCTTGTTTTGGGAAAAATGGGCCACAGAGGCTGGGCTTATGTGCGATAGGCTGGGCTTATGTGCGATAGGCTGGCTTATGTGCGATAGGCTGGGCTTATGTGCGATAGGCTGGGCTTATGTGCGATAGGCTGGGCTTATGTGCGATAGGCTGGGCTTATGTGCGATAGGCTGGGCTTATGTGCGATAGGCTGGGCTTATGTGCGATAGGCTGGGCTTATGTGCGATAGGCTGGGCTTATGTGCGATAGGCTGGGCTTATGTGCGATAGGCTGGGCTTATGTGCGATAGGCTGGGCTTATGTGCGATAGGCTGGGCTTATGTGCGATAGGCTGGGCTTATGTGCGATAGGCTGGGCTTATGTGCGATAGGCTGGGCTTATGTGCGATAGGCTGGGCTTGCGATAGGCTGGGCTTATGTGCGATAGGCTGGGCTTATGTGCGATAGGCTGGGCTTATGTGCGATAGGCTGGGGTTATGTGCGATAGGCTGGGGTTATGTGCGATAGGCCTGGGGAGGGGGAGAGGAGATGGGGCACAGGCGCACAGGGATTAAGAGAAAGAGACAGATGGTCACTGTGTCGCTTTTGAGAATTCTCAAAAGGAGGGGGAGAGGAGATGGGATGGGGCACAGCCGCACAGGGATCAAGAGAAAGAGACAGATGGTGACTGTTTTTGAGACGTCTCAAAAACGCCCTCACCTCACGTGGCCTGGGGAGGGGGGAGGGGAGATGGGGCACAGCCGCACAGGGATCAAGAGAAAGAGACAGATGGTGACTGTGCCAGCAGCAGCTGTGGCATAAACCAGTTCTGTGAGAAATGCGCCACAGCAGCGTGTGCGTGCAGTGCACACAAACAAGCACAACGCTGCTAAATTCCCTCCCCTCCCCTTCCCCCCCTCCCTTCCCCTCCCATCCCCTCCCTTACCTTCCTGCCATTTAAAGCGATCCTGCTTCCCCAGCTCTCGCCCCAGCATGTGCGTGCAGTGCACAAACGAACTCCAACCCTCTCAACCCCTCTCAACACCTCTCCACCCACTTCCCATCTCCTCGCTGCACCTTCCCTCCCTTCCATTACCTCCCTGCCCTTTGAAATGGTCCTGCTTCCCCAGCTCTCGCCCCAGCATGTGCGTGCACAGCACATGCAAGCACCACCGCTCTCAACCCCTCTCCACCCACTTCCATTCCCCTCCCATCCGCTCCCTTACCTTCCTGCCCTTTGAAGTGATCCTGCTTTCCCAGCTCCCGCCCCAGCATGTGCGTGCAGTGCACAAACGACCGCCACTCCTCTAAAGGGGGCTGCTGACTTGTGATGTGATTGTAAAGGGGGCCCATGAGGCGAAATATCTGCGATAGATTGGACCGGGGTGGGAGGGGGTGGGTGCCAGTGGGGGGAAGGGAGATAGAGAGAACAAGAGCATTGAAAGAGGGAAGAGGCTGCTGACTCGTGAAGTGATTGAGAGGGCCATGAGGGGAACGAACATGATCCTGTTTTCAAACCCCAGCTCCCGCCCCAGAATGCGCGTGCAGTGCACAAACGACCGCCACTCCTCTAAAGGGGGCTGCTGACTGGTAATGTGATTGTAAAGAGGGCCCATGAGGCAAAAAATCTGGGGGAGGGAGGTTTGGAAGGAAAGAAGGGAAGGAAGTGAGACAGAGATTAGTTGATTGTTAAGGGGGCGCATGAGGGGAAACACCTGGAGTAGGATAAGAGGGAAGGTACAGGAGCTGTCAGAAACAGTTGTGCCCGACGGCGAAACAAAGTGACTTTTGAATCAACTCAAAAGGCGAAACATGTGGAGTAGGATAAGAGGGAAGGAACACTTGGAAGGGAAAAAGGATGGAGAGAGAGCGAGAATATTCCCAGATTGCTTTGTATGCATGAAACCTATAACTCCTGTATGCGTGTAAAACGACTATATCATGAAAGGACCATTAGAGAGAGAGGGAGAAAATTCCAGAGTAAACATGATGTGACTGTAAAGGGGGTCAAGTTGTTTGAAACGTGTTGGCGATATGGGTGAACCTGATTATACAGGATAGGAAATGGATGGGAAAACATGTGATTATACTGGAAGTTAACGTGCCAAGGCTCAAACAACAAGAGTAAACACACCTTCAAGTGGGCTGCCTGACCTGTGCCTCTGCATTGCAAACAATGCCATAGGATTTACATGACATATGGTTGCCTTGCCACTGCTGAAAAGAGCTGAAAAGAGCTGAAAGGTGCAGAAAAGTGCAGAAAAGTGGTGAAAAGTGCTGGATGGAAGGTGGCGCACCTTTTAAGTGACCTGGCTGACCCGTGCCTGAGCAAAACAAACCAAGCCATTGCAAAGCCATAATATTCACATGGCATGGCATGGCTAACAAAGTCACATGCTATCCTATCCATCACATGCCATCATAGTGACCGTGTATCATCACATGCCATCATAGTGACCGTACATCATCACATGCCATCATAGTGACCGTGTATCATCACATGCCATCACAGTGACCGTACATCATCACATGCCATCATAGTGACCGTACCTCATCACATGCCATCATAGTGACCGTACATCATCTCATGCCATCATAGTGACCGTACATCATCACATGCCATCATAGTGACCGTACATCATCACATGCCACATCCCATCATGCATTCTTTGGCGTACCTCCATGGTTCTGTTGTTAATAAGATGCGCTGCGGGATGCTGCTGCAGCCCATGCTCCCTCTCCACCACCACGTTCCGAACGCCTAGTAAAAGGAAGGAAGTTGAGAATATGCACGGATGAGATGAGGGGAGGGAAGCACAACCTTGCGAGTGCTGCTGCAGCCCATGCTCCCTCTCCACCACCACGTTCCGAACGCCTGGGAAGAGGGAGGAGAAGGAAAGGGGAGGGGAGAAAAGGGCGGCAGTTGATATGCTGCTGCAGCCCATTCTCCCTCTCCACCACCACATTCCCAACGCCTGGTTAAAGGGGGATGGGAATATGAGGGGAGGAGGGGGAAGCACAAGCTATGAGTGACCTTTCTAGCCACTGCGGGATGCTGCTGCAGCCCATGCTCCCTCTCCACCACCACATTCGGAACGCCTGGTAAAAAAGGGGATGAGAATATGAGAGGAGGAGGGGGAAGCACAGCGTATGAGTGACATTGCTAGTGCTGTTGCGGGATGCTGATGCAGCCCATGCTCCTTCTCCCCCACCCCATTTCGAACACCTGAAGAAGGGGGGAGGGAGGAGGAGAGAAGCTGAGCGAGCCGTTCAGGCCTGCATGGCACCCTTGCCTTGCTCCTGCTGCTGCAGCCCATGCTCCTTCTCCCCCACCACATTCCGAACACCTGGAGAGGGAGAGGAGGAGTGGATGTGAGGGTGAGAGGAGGAGAGGAAAGCGCAGCCCCACAAGGGAACGCATACCCCAATGTGACCCATCTAGAGCCAGCATGCTGCCCCTGCTCCTGCTCCTACTGCTGCTACTCTAGCTGTGGGATGCTGCTGCAGTGCAGCCCATGCTCCCTCTCCCCACCACCACGCTCAGAACGCCTGGAGAGAGGGAGAGGGAGAGAGCATTTAACAAGCCTGCCTGTACTGTAACGTGCATTACTGCTCGCTTACTTGCGACAGCATAATGGAAAGGGAGAGCCCCACCGGCCCCGAGCCCACAATCACTACCGGCACTAACGAATCTGCTTAGAACGCGTACATTACTGCTCACCTAAACGCGAGAGCATGATGGAAAGGGAGAGCCCCACCGGCCCCGCGCCCACAATCACCACCGGCACCGACGCTCGCGCAACCGATCCTCCGCCGTTCTTCCCGCTATCCCCTCCGCCAATCGCAGCCGTTGATCTAGCTGCCGCCAAACCAGCAGGGACCGATCTAACGGCCGTGGGTCCATCAGAAGCGCTAAATCCGCGCGCCGGGAAAATTAACCCTTTAGAGAAGCTGTGAAGGATGGATTTCGATGAAACGAGGAGAGTACAAGTTAGCCGGCGCACATGACGGTGCGGAAACCAGATTGTCGGGAACATAGGCGAAACAGTTACCGTGGCGAATGATTGCGTCGGGTGAACCTACAGGCGCTTAGAGACGAAGTCTACTATCTACACGTGGAAACCCTGGATTTCTGCGAAAGCGGCTTGACGGAGGACGTGTCATGCGCCGCGACTCGCCAAGTGATCGAATCCAGGTCGTGCAGGGCTAAACTATCGCTTCCTTTCCTTTCTTCTAAGCGTCCTCTGCGAAGCGGGGGGCGAGGTGGAGGAGGAAAGAAAATAAACTTGGGCTGGCTCATTTATATTCGATACTGGCTGAATTCTTTATACCACATTACTTATCCACGATCAAGTTTTTGTAGAAACCCTAAACTACATTCGAATTGTGACGCCAGAAGACTGGCAAATTTTTTGGGGGGCACACCCTGCGGAATGAACGAAGAACATTTGTTATTTGGTAACATATCTCGCAAGTTGTTACTTTCCTTTGTTGGTGATGGTGAAAGCTGAGGCTTGGGCGTGAGCTGGACGAAGTCACGTGCTCGTTTTTTTCGCAGTCTCTTTGTGCAGTTGTCGGTACGGGAGGTCATTTCGTTCGACTCGCACGGTCGTGGATGTTGCAACAAGGTGAGACAGCCACAATCGGTCAGCAGGTCTCACCTTGTTGCAACATGTCGTACACGAAGTCATTCTTGGCCGTCCCACATTCTTGCAAACCGGTATACTCACCGTTCACGGCACTTGTTCAAACGGCTGACCGATTCGCTAGTTTGAAGCCTGTCCCGCGGGACTGCTGTGACATCCAGAATTCTGTCGACAACTGTACAACGAACCGACATGGAGAGGTTGGTCGGTCCGAGCTGAAAACTTTCCATCGACATTTGCCTTCGACGAAAATCCCACGCCGCCAAACGACGAGTCCACTCCACCACAACACAGATCGTGCGACTGACCGTGGATCGCACATGGTCAGATGCGATCGTGGTATATACGCCTACCACCTTCCATCCACCCTACAATCCAACTCGTAGTCCGTAAGATTGGCCTAGAGTGACAAGGACGACAGACCTACGAAAGCCTGTGACTGTATGGTGGACCTGGTCAACCCTCCTCAGATCATCCGAAGCGCGACACCGCGACATTCAACGCTTGCACTTCACCCACGCGATCTCAGCCGTCGGTAATCAAGCCCATCAAACGCACCGCTCGGGATGCGATTCGTCGAACAAACATTGTAGCTGTTGAAATACTCCAACTTCTTGTGCTTCCATCATCCACCAACAAATTCCCTCACTCAGCAAACTTCAATCGTTTCCTCATTCCTCTTCAATAGCCGTGAATTATTCAGCCGATATAGTCAGCAAAATCGACCATCACAGGCAAACATTTGATTGCAGCGATCTGACAGTAACACCGCCTAGCTCATTCAAAACCATAGAAACAGCCCCTTCATCAAATTCGGTTATGGCGAGAAAGTGTACCCTCCTTATTGTGCTTCTCCTGCCCCTCGTCACGCTTCTCCTACTCAACCATCTCCCCGCAGCCACAGCTCTCCCTCGCCCTCGACGATCGCTCCTAGGTCGTCTGCTGAAGCCTCTGATTCACCGCTTCGACAGTCTCAAGGCTGAGCTGGGTTTCGAAACAGGTCGCAGTGATGAAACCGCTGCTGTCACGTGGAGGGACATGTACCAACAGCACCTGATTTCTAAAATCGAGCCGTCGAACGACAAGAAACTGCTCGCTGCGTTTGCCAATTCCAATGACGTACTCCTCGCTCCGACGGATCACGGCGTCGCGGCGCAACCGCCGCCGCAGCATGCGGCCAAAAAACGGGTAACAGAGTCAACTTCGACTGAGTCAACCGCAACCGCCGCGCCCGCCGCCGGCGCCGTCGGAGCTGCACCCGCCGACGCCACATCATCCATCATCAACACGGATTCGTCCGTTTCAGCGGCCACCGACACTCCGATCGGTACTACTACTACTGCTAACGAAGGTCACTCGAAGTCAACAGCCGCCGGAGCGACTCGTACTACTACCATGCCGCGCCGGTCCATGATCGCGTTCGCACCCGCACCGCCCCCAGCATACTACGAGCCGTTCAGGCGCCGCAGCATGATGAGCCGCCAGCTGCGCGGCGGCAATGGTTCTCCACGACGGTCAACGCTCGACGCCAATCCCGCCTCTGCTCCCGCATCTGAGCCGTCCGTCCCCGGCCGCCGGTCCGTGCTCGAATTTCCCGGGAATCAGGTCAATGCGCCCAGCAACCATGCCCCCGATAGCGCGCCTTGCCCCGGAGCCGCCCCCCAGACCCGCGGCGTGGGAGGTTCCGCCCCGTTCCCCCTCGCGTGCCCGAACCCAGAACCCTCCGCGATGTGCGATTTCGTGTTCAATAAATCGATGGACGTGATTCCAACCATCACCCTCCCTGCGTTGGTGACGGACGCACCACTCGATGTAACTCCATCCGAAATTGTGACAGTCGTTGGTGGTGCAGACTTGGAGGAGGCTACAGCAAACGAATCTGCGCTGGTTTGCTCCCCGGAAGTTGCAAAAACATTATCCGACGACGTTCCCCTTCAGTTTCCGGACGGCGTTTTCGAGATTCGCGATTCGACTGCGCTCGTGTACAACGGGCAACTGATGAAAGAGATTCTCGACAGCAGCAGTCTTGGAAACAGCGGGAACGAGTGGGCAAAAACGTTCCGCGCCGACGCTGCGGGGAAAGACGGCGCGCTCGTTCGCGTTCAAATCGAATCCGCTACGCTGAATCTCTACGGGACGGAGACTAAGGTCGGCAAGGGTACAAACAATGGCCCATCCGGCTCAAATCTCGGTAGCGGTTCTGGCGCGAGTGGCAATGGCGAGAATGGTGATCTCATGGGCGTTCAATACTTCCCTTACGAAAGGCTCTGTGTTTTGTTTCGGGTGAAGCTCGCTTGAGGCGGCGCGGCAGCGGTGGTATACTTCGCGAACCGAAGTTCGTGTAGATAGCATGGACTATTGGCATGCACATCTCGCTACACTGCATTGTACATCTCGCCATACTTACCGTATACTCCCGGACAAAACACCCCCCCATAATTGTACACCCCCGGGTAGCTTGTGCGGGGTGGGTGTTATGATAGACCTCGTTTCTACTATACCCCCCTTTTTGGCTGATTTTCTATAACACCCCCCTTTTCTTACGGATTCATTATTATAGTCGTTAACGAGTAGCTGCAATACGGAAGAATATCGTGTGAATTTCTCCCTCAATGAAATTTCGCGGTACATTCAAAGGCAATCTGCCGAGATTTGCCCCCTCCCACCAGGGCCTCAGATTGGTTTCAGGCTAGGCTGAAAGATCAGAGTTGGTACAAAATTCTATGCTGAAAAACAGAGAAATCAGCCCATTTTATGCCATTTTACACTACAAATATAGTAAAAAATCCTGTTTCTTCACAAAAAAATTGCTGGAAAATCAACATCGATTCTGAAAAAGGTCTGAAATCTCAGCCTTTTTTACTTAAATCAGCCTTTTTTCGCTGACTTCTGAGGCCCTGCCTCCCACTATTTCTCTGTTGCCACGTGCAGGTGAATCTTCCGTTGCAAGTGGCAAGAGAGGTGCCACATGGCATTTTCGTGAGGGCGATGAAGTTCGAGGCCGAAACCAGGGTCCTCGCTGTTGGAAACAATCGGTCCTAAGCGCCTCTGTCGTGTCGAAACACTAAAGACACAAGTGAAGCAACGCATATCGAGGCACCAGCGAGTCAACCCTCGGAAGTTGAAGCAACAGCTGGAGGTTACGCGAAGGTCAAAGGTCAGCGACCTTTGACTTGACAAATGCAGCGCGACAGCAAGGACACACAATTGACTCGATATTGAGCAGTTGCCCGAGTCGCACAGTATCGAACCGCAACAGCCAACAGTAAAACAGTTATCATTCGTATCTCTTCGTATTCCTTGTAATCATATATAAAATCTTGTATCTCCTTGTTTTAATCAACTTACTTTGCCCTCACATACTAGCGCAAGGTGGTTCAGAATCTCTTTGTTAACGCTTCCGCTACTACATCATTCTACCCAGAGATTAACCCTACCAAAGATCCTAAGGGGCACTCAGCCCAACATGGTATGAGAGCTGGTTAGGGTTAAAATTCTATTTCCCCTTAAATTACACCAAGAGACATGTCGACCGAAAGGAGAGGAGCTCCTCCAACGGCTCTCCTGGTACTACTCCTACTCCACCTCCTGCTTCTGGCCTACAGACAGAGGAAGGCACAACAACGAGACCGGCCGCTGGGTCTACTGAAACACCCGCAAACCAAGGCGCGGGCTTCGATCCAAGCATGATGGAGAAGTTCTTCTCCTTCATGTCCTTCTACGAGCAGCATCAGCAAGGAGTACCTGCGCAATCAAACAACAGCAACAACAACAACAACAACAACGTGACACCCATGAGTCTCGATGGCTCATCCTACGCACGCGGGAATCAACAACAACAACCTACCTTCGCTCCGTACGAGCCCCAGCGCGGCTCCGTCAGCTTCATGCCACAACCACAACCTGCACCGGGACAAGAAAGAACGCTGGACGCACTACAAGTTCAGTCGCAGTTCGCGCACGTTTTAAAACTGCAAACGACAAAACCTTTCGACGGGAAGGACTTCTTTACCTAGTCGTTCGAATTCGAGCTGATGATGGAAGGAGCGCAAATCCTTGGCTTCTTCGACGGGTCCCTGCCATACCCAACAAACGGCACACAGTATGAGAAGCAGCAGTACACCTATCAATCGATGATGGCGTACACGATACTACTGAGGAACATCACCCCGACTCAACAGCAGAACATAAGGACTTACCGAGGTTATGGCAACTCCGCGGAGCTCGCGTACAATCACTTGAAGAACATGTATCAAGCAACAGACAGCGTAAACCAAAGTCGGTTAATGGCGCAGCTGACAACAATCGAAATGAAACCAGGCGAGAAGGGAATGGCGTATATCAGTCGCTGCCGCGAGCTGCGCGACAAGCTTCTTCGATGTGGAGGATCG